GCTCTGAGACTCCTTTGGTTAGTGAAGGGCGGGGTATAAATCCAATATCTTCTTCTCTTCTTATCTACCTAGTGTTGCCAGGCCCACGCCTGCAAATCCTGGGAACTTTTGGAGGGCAGAGCCTGGGAGGCGGAAGCATCATGGGGGGCTGTGGTATCACTTCCGGGCGATAACCTGAAAGTGATAACCGTAGCCCAGCAGAGACAATCCAAGGATTCCCCTGATCTCTGTGATGAAGACCATTGAGATTGGAGGGAATTCCTAGAGCGTCATTGGTGGGTGTGGGTTGCTGTCCCCCCCCCATTTTTCTCCTGCTACTCAGTCGATCAAGCATGGGGCAATTGATTGTGGGGGCTAGAGTTGGCCTGCTGTGGACGACAACCCGTTAACCCTATATGTACAGGTTGTGTATATAATTTAAGAGCAAAACGTGCGCACCGTGGCCCCTCAGTGTTCACCCACGCAGATTTCCACACATGTCATCAGTAAGACTCGCTGCATTCAATGGGGATGACTCCCAAGGGAAAGCGCAGAAGCCTTCCGGAGACTCCAAGAGGTGGGGGCTGAAGAATGACATATTTAAGGGCTCTTTTTGTAGCAGGAACTCCTTTGCATATTAGGCGACACCCCCCCTAACGTAGCCAATCCTCCAACAGCTTACGGTAGCCCCTGTAAGAAGATCTCTGTAAGCTCTTGGAGGATTGGCTACATTAGGGGGCGAGTCACCCAGGGCTCTTTTTGTAGCAGGAGCTCCTTCATATTAGGCGACACGCCCCCTCATGTCGCCAATCCTCCAAGAGCTTACAGTAGCCCCTGTAAGAAGAGCTCAGTAAGCTCTTGGAGGATTGGCTACGTTAGGGGTGTGTCGCCTAATATGGTACCACTGGGACTATGGAATTCAGACGTTGCGAATCAGGACTGACACCCTCCCTGCCCCCATAAAACTAGAGACATTTCGAATTTGTGATTTCTTCACAGGACAAAATCCTTCACGCCGCAGGGGAAGAGCAGGGGAAGAGGAAGCCAAGCGCTTGGGAGTGGTTTCGAGGCTGCCGGGTGAAGGCCAAGGCGAATCACAGGGACTCGGTAGAAGAGGCCTTTGTGGAGCTGGCCACAGCCTGCCAGGCGGTCATCTGCTGTCGAGTGACGCCCAAGCAGAAGGCTCTCATTGTCCAGATGGTCAAGAGACACAAGAACGCCATCGCTCTGGCCATCGGAGACGGGGCCAACGATGTCAACATGATAAAAAGTGAGGCTGGATTCCACCTAGGGCCGGGTCCCCTTACCTGCTGCCATTCCAAGCCACAGCCGGAGTAAATTTCTAAAACCCCGCAGCCTTGTGTTCTCACTGGAGGTGGCAAAGGGTAGCTCTAGGAATCACCAGGAACTCTATGATTTTGCCATAGAGTTTCGAATGATTCCTAGAGCTATCCCCTGTCACTTCCGGGGTAGCTCTAGGAGTTGCTTTACCATAGACTTTCTGGCGATTCCTAGAGCTACTCTTTGCCGCTTTCAGTGTTTTACCAGCAGTGACAGAGCACTACAGGTAGTAGTGTGGCCCACCATAGCCTCTCCCACAACTCTCTCACTAGTTGCCAGGTCCCTAATTTGACCACTCTTGCTCTTTGGCTCTGGAGGAAAGGGAAGTTAGCCAGTTTATCATTTTGAAAAATACCTGGTCTGGTGAACTTTGAGATGCATATATCTGCCCATTTTCATGGATTTGTCTCTTCATTCATTTTTGTCCATTTTTATGCCCGGTGTTCCCAACCTATCCCCCCCTTTGTTCACCATTTGGCCCCTTTTGTCGATTAATTGCCTTTTACACAAAACAGACACAATAATATTGAGAAGAGCATTGATTTTAATGGAGAAAATTTGGTGCGAGGAAGCTGAAAACAGACAGCCTCACAGGTTCCATTTGCAAAATGAACTGACAAAATTGAAATGGGGAATTTCCAAGTGACTGACCAAATGGAGGGCATCCCTAAACTTAGTGAGGTTTTGGCAGACCAGAGGTCTGATTTGGGAGAATCACCAGAAACTCTATGGTTTTGCCATAGAGTTTCGAATGATTCCTAGAGCTACCCCCTGTGACTTCCGGGGTAGCTCTAGGAGTTGCTTTACCATAGATTTTCTGGCGATTCCCAGAGCTACTCTTTGCCACTTTCAGTGTTTTACCAGCAGTGACAGAGCACTACAGGTAGTAGTGTGGCCCACCATAGCCTCTCCCACAACTCTCTCACTAGTTGCCAGGTCCCTAATTTGACCACTCTTGCTCTTTGGCTCTGGAGGAAAGGGAAGTTAGCCAGTTTATCATTTTGAAAAATACCTGGTCTGGTGAACTTTGAGATGCATATATCTGCCCATTTTCATGGATTTGTCTCTTCATTCATTTTTGTCCATTTTTATGCCCGGTGTTCCCAACCTATCCCCCCCTTTGTTCACCATTTGGCCCCTTTTGTCGATTAATTGCCTTTTACACAAAACAGACACAATAATATTGAGAAGAGCATTGATTTTAATGGAGAAAATTTGGTGCGAGGAAGCTGAAAACAGACAGCCTCACAGGTTCCATTTGCAAAATGAACTGACAAAATTGAAATGGGGAATTTCCAAGGGACTGACCAAAGGGAGGGCATCCCTAAACTTAGTGAGGTTTTGGCAGACCAGAGGTCTGATTTGGGAGGCTTTGGATGGTCAGAGAAGCTGTCATATTTTGGGGGGGTCCGGGAGGAACCTGGTCATGTTTAACAAAGGATCAAAGAGGACTGGGATATCATCCATCACGTATGTTCAATGAGATAATCTATGGGACGAGAATTCAGAAACTCCTTTTGGTTCTACCCTTACTAACAGAATCAGGGTAAGGGTGTATGGATCCAGTTGCTGTGGCAAAAGGGATGTTTCTGTCGCTCCCCTTCAAGATCTGCCCTGGCAGCTCTAGAATGTATGTTTCAGAGTAAATCTCCATGCACATTTTTGGCAGAACAGCATTTAAAAAAAAATATTAATTACAAACTTTCTTGTTTCATTTGGCATTCCCTCAGTTTGGCATTCCCTCCTTTGTTTGGCATTCCCTCCTTGGCATTCCTTCCTTTGTTGGCATTCCCTCCTTCATGCCCAATGTTTTGTTTTAAATACTTTCATTGTTGTTTTTATGTCTATGTATTTTTCTTAGCTCTGGTTTTAGTTGCTTTAATGAAATGCTGTTGATGTTTGGTTGGTTTTAAAGATATGATTATATTATGCACATTTTAATTTGTCAGCCACCTTGGTGGCCCTTGTAAGGGCAGAAAGATGGGATATAAATCTTTAATGCTTCAACCACTTCCATCATTGAGATTGGTTGGTTTAGTATTTTTCTTTGCCCTTCTGTAAATTTTCGCAGTTGATATTTTTCCAAATAGCCTTTAATTTTTTCAATGCTCACTGATGTTTTCCCATATAAAGTTTTATAATATTCCTCCACTGCTTTTTTAATTTCCTCATTTCTATAGATTTCTTTTCCTTCTTTTCTCAATACTTTAATAAAAGTTCTTTCCTTCTGTTGTCTAATTTTGTAAGCCAGCCATCTCATAGGTTTATTTGCATTTTCAAAAAAAAATTGTTTTGCAAAATATAGTTTCTTTGCTATCTCTTCTTTCAATAGGCAATTCTTTTGATGTTGTAACATTTTGAGTCTTTTTCGTTCCATCATTGTTCACTTTAGTCATCATAATATTCTCTTGAAGACTTATCTGTGTTTTTAAACTTTCATACCTTTGTTTCCTTTGCCTATTTACTTTTGCTGCTTCTTGTATTAACATTCCCCTGGAAAATGCTTTCATTGCGTCCCATACCATCTT